CAGAGATTTCATTTTTGTCATTTTTTCCTGTCACACACAGAGATTTCATTTTTGTCATTTTTTCCTGTCACACACAGAGATTTCATTTTTGTCATTTTTTTCCCTGTCACACACAGAGATTTCATTTTTATCATTTTTTTCCTGTCACACACAGAGATTTCATTTTTGTCATTTTTTTCCCTGTCACACACAGAGATTTCATTTTTATCATTTTTTCCCAGTCACACACAGAGATTTCATTTTTGTCATTTTTTTCCTGTCACACACAGAGATTTCATTTTTCCTGTCACACACAGGATTTCATTTTTGTCATTTTTTTCCTGTCACACACAGAAATTTCATTTTTGTCATTTTTTTCCTGTCACACACAGAAATTTCATTTTTGTCATTTTTTTTCCTGTCACACACAGAGGTTTCATTTTTGTCATTTTTTTTCTGTCACACTCATATTTCATTTTTGTCATTTTTTTTTCTCTGTCACACACAGAGATTTCATTTTTGTCATTTTTTTCCCATTCACACAGAAATTTCATTTTTGTCATTTTTTTCCTGTCACACACAGAGATTTCATTTTTGTCATTTTTTTCCTGTCACACCCAGATTTCTGTGCTGCTCAGAGAGCAGGGATTGGGGAGCTCAGAGCCTTGTCCTGCTCTCTGCTTTTCATCTGTTCCACTCTGCAGGGTTTGAGGCGCAGGGAAAAACCCTCACCTTCTTCAGGAACACTGGCTGCAGTGTTTGCTGATATTGATCACTGATCAATCCCAAAAACAGCTGGAATTACACAGTGGAGCCAGGACACAGCTGCACACTCGCTTTTCTTTCAATTCCAAACCAACTGCTGAGGTTCCCTCATATTTTCAGGAATTATCCATAATAAACAAACATCACCCGAGTGTAAAGCCTGGGAGGTCTCGCAGGGTTTTAGGATGGGACTCTGGCCCAGCCAGGGATCAGCAGGGATCAGGGTTTGGGGGAAGAGAGGAAGGGAAGGCACAGCCCCGTGCCTGCAAATCAGTGAGGAACCAGAGAATTCCCCAGGGAGGGACAGGAATGGAGAACAGCCAGGACAGGGACTGGGAATGGGATTGGGAATGGGATTGGGAATGGGACAGGGATGGGACAGGGATGGGACAGGGACAGGGAATGGGGATTGGGACAGGGATGGGGCAGGGACAGGGACTGGGACTGGGACTGGGACTGGGACTGGGAACAGGGACAGGGACAGTGGGGATAGGGACAGGGACAGGGAACAGGAAGAGGGACTGGGAATGGGAATGGGAATGAGAATGAGAATGAGAATGGGATTGGGACTGGGAATGGGAATGGAATGGGACAGGGACAGGGATAGGGACAGGGAAAGGGAATGGGAGGGGAAAGGGACAAGAATACAGGGACAGGGAATGAGACAGGGGCAGGAGCAGGGACAGGGACAGGGAATGGGACAAGGACAAGGACAAGGACAAGGACAAGGACAAGGACAAGGACAAGGACAAGGACAAGGATAGGACACAGACAAGGCCAAGGCCAGGCCCAGGCCCAGAGCCGCAGACAGGACAGTCCCCTCCCCCACCCCGGTGTGCACTTGCCTCCCTGATGAGGTTGATGAAGCGGGGCCCGAAGCGCCAGGGCTTGTGGCGGTGGCACTGCAGGGAGCTGACGGCCAGCTGGGCTGCGCGCTGGGAGGCCACGGCCACC